TTCCCCATTCCATTTTACAATACTATGTGCATTGCACATGGTGGAGCAATGCCATGCATGGTGCCAGTGGTGAGGCAACAAGGCGAGACAAAGCTTTTGTCAGCCATGCAATTTTCCAAGTCTTGGAAGAAGGGCGAACCGACGTTCCTTGCAACTATGAAGATGGATATAGTTCAGAAGGAAGTCCAACCTGTCCCGAAAGCTGTGAAGGCAATCCTTAAGGAGTTTGCAGATGTCATGCCCAAGGAGTTGCCCAAAACCTTACCACCTAGGAGAGAGGTGGATCATGCCATTGAGTTGGAACCGGGTGCCAAACCCCCTGCCAAAGCGTCGTACCGGATGGCACCTCCTGAGTTGGAGGAATTGAGGAAGCAGTTGAAGCAGCTGTTGGACGCTGGGTACATCCAACCGTCCAAGGCCCCTTATGGTGCCCCAGTTCTTTTTCAGAAGAAGAGAGAAGGGACCCTGAGGCTGTGCATTGACTACAGGGCGCTAAACAAGGTGACCATCAAAAACAAGTATCCAATCCCTTTGATAGCAGATTTGTTTGATCAGTTGGGAGGAGCTAGGTACTTCACCAAGTTGGACTTGCGCTCAGGATACTATCAAGTGAGGATCGCACCGGGAGATGAACCAAAGACCGCATGTGTGACGAGATATGGGTCTTACGAGTTCCTTGTCATGCCTTTCGGCTTGATTAACGCCCCTGCAACCTTTTGCACTCTTATGAACAAGGTATTCCATCCTTTCTTGGACAAGTTTGTTGTGGTTTACATCGATGATATTGTGGTGTACAACAATTCCCTAGAGGAGCATCTTGAGCACTTGCAGAAAGTCTTCCAAGTTCTAAGGGAGAACGAGTTATATGTGAAGAGGGAGAAGTGCTCATTTGTCCAAGAAGAGGTAGAGTTCCTTGGTCACAAGATACGGGGAGGACAATTGCTCATGGAGGAGGGCAAGGTGCAAGCCATTCAAGAGTGGGAACCACCAACCAAGGTACCTGAGTTGCGGTCTTTCCTTGGGTTGGTCAACTACTATCGCAGGTTCATCAAGGGATATTCAGCCATTGCCACCCTCTTGACGGATTTGCTGAAGAAGAACAAGGCATGGGAGTGGAGGCCCCGATGCCAGCATGCCTTCGATGAGTTGAAGAGGGCACTTATGGAGGAACCCGTGCTGAGACTTCCTGATCTTAGCAAACCGTTTGAGGTACACACTGATGCATCAGATTTTTCTATTGGTGGTGTACTCACGCAGGATGGACACCCATTAGCTTTCGAGAGTCGGAAGCTCAATGACACGAAGTGGAGGTATACCGTTCAAGAGAAGGAGATGACAGCCGTAGTGCATTGCTTGCGGACTTGGAGGCACTACTTGTTGGGTTCTCAGTTCGTGGTCAAGACTGACAACGTTGCCACAAGCTACTTTCAGCCTCAACCGAAGTTGTCACCCAAGCAGGCTAGATGGCAAGACTTCTTGGCGGAGTTCGACTACAAACTGGAATACAAGCAAGGGAAGACGAATGTCGTTGCCGATGCCCTAAGCAGGAAGGCCACACTTGCAGCTGTTGTACAACCACAGAGTTCTCTCATGCAGAGGATACGAGAGGGCTTGTTGCATGATCCCCAAGCCAAAAATCTGTTGGAGCTTGTCAAAGATGGGAAGACAAGGAGATTTTGGCTCGATGATGGTGTTCTTTATGCAACAGGGAAGAGGATCTATGTTCCAAGGTGGGACAATCTGAGGCGAGAGCTACTGAAGGAGTGTCATGACTCGAAGTGGGCGGGACATCCAGGCACTCATCGGACGTTAGCCTTGATGAGTGAAGCTTACTATTGGCCACAGATGCGGGAGGATGTAGACTCGTTCGTGCGGACTTGCCTTGTATGCCAACAAGACAAGACATTGCAGAAGCAGCCAGGTGGGTTGCTAGAGCCACTTCCTGTTCCAGCCAGACCATGGGAGAGTTTGTCCATGGACTTCATTGTGAGTCTACCCAAGTCGGAAGGGTGTGGCTCAATTTTGGTGGTGGTCGACATGTTCACCAAGTATGCTACCTTCATCCCTGCACCAGCGGATTGCAATGCGGAGGAAGCTACACGCTTGTTTCTAAAGCATATGGTGAAGTATTGGGGAATTCCCAAGAGTATTATCAGTGACCGCGACACTCGCTTTACTGGTAAACTTTGGACGAAGCTCTTTAGGCTACTTGGCTCACAGTTGAACTTCTCTACCAGCTTTCACCCACAGACAGATGGTCAGACGGAACGGGTGAACGCATTGTTGGAGCTATACTTGAGGCACTATGTGAGTGCCAACCAGCGAGATTGGGCAAAGTTGTTGGATGTTGCTCAATTCTCGTACAACTTGCAGCGGTCGGAGTCAACAGGGTCAAGTCCTTTCGAGTTGGCAATAGGACAACAACCTATGACACCGAACACAGTGGTGTCAAGCTACACGGGGAGTAGCCCAGCTGTATACAAGACAGCCAAGGAGCGGCAGGGGACCAATGACCTCGAACGAGGTCG